GCAAGGCTGGCAGTTCTTCCCAAGGCTGCCTACATCACAGCAAATTTCAAACCCTTTTCCCAAAAAAGTGTAAAGTGGGGGACTGGCACTCTTTAAACCCTCCCACGGCCCACCCCATAAGAGCTACAGCGCATCCCACTTGGAAGTGTGGGGGAAGGGAGGGAGGCTGCCTGTCACCGAGCGGTAGCCCTGGACAAAGCCCCCGGGGGCCCTGGCACCCTGACCCCTGACAGAGAGCCCCCTCTCCCCGGACTCGGGGGCTGAGAGGGGCTGGGTGGGTCTTCTCCGCAGAGGGGAGTGAAAACTAAAGGGACGGGCAGGGGTTCTCTCCACGCTGGGGAGGAAATGAGGAAGGGGCGTCAGGCAATCCCTCCCAGCACAGGAAGGGGTGAGGGGCCGGAGGCGGCCGGAAGGGACAGGGTGGTTCTCCGGGTGCTCCCGCTGGGCTACCTCGAGAGGTCACCTTCCCGCGGAGGGCCGGCGGGGGGAGGGGCGCCGCTCGCCGCCCGGGACTCCCAGCTCGGGCCGCGGCGGCTCCGGGAACACGCGGCTGGCCAGGCCCGGGCTGATGTAATCGGCTCCGCGCCGCGCGCGCCCGGCCGGGCGGGGGAGGGCGGGCACGGAGCGGGACGCGAGCGGGGACGGGCGGGGGTGGCGCCGCGCAGGTGGCCCGGCGGAGAAGGGGGTCTCCGCAGCCATCCACCCCGAAACTTTTGCTAAACTCGCGGAGAGGGCCGCAGGGATCCAGCGGCAGTGACAGCGAGCCCCCTCGCGCGCCAGCGCCCTGCCCCCTCCACGCTCTCAGCCCTCCTTCGGTCCAAGGTCCGAGCACCCCCCTGCCCGCTGGACTCCGGCTCCCGCCCCCGCTGCCCGGACTTTCAGTTCGTCGGGGACCAGCGGCTGGGAGCAAACTTCAGCAGCCGGCGGCAGCGCAAGCCCAGCCCCCTCGGCCTCCTCCAGCGGCTCCCGCCCTCCGCTGGTCGGCCCAGATCGTACGTGCGGTGATCCGGTGGGTGGGCAGGGCCCGCGTGGGCGGTGAGACTCTCTCCCGGTGCCCTCCCACCTAGCGCGCGCCCCCTCCCCCTCCACGGACGAGGATCGAGGGGGAAGCCGCGCGCCCGGTGCCCAAGGACCCGCGTGGGGCACGGAACCCCCACGCGCGCGCTCGCACGCACGTCCCCAGCCGGGAGAGGCGCTCGCAGCTGCCCGCGGCGCCGGGCGGGGACGGCCGCTTACCTTGGCATGGTGGAGGTAGAGCAGCAAGGCAAGGCTCCAATGCACCCAAGAGAGCAGAAAGTTCATGGTTTCGGAGGCCCGGCCGGGGCCGGCGCGGCTCGCGCTCCCTCTCCGGCTCGGGCTGCGGGGCGGCCCGCTCTCTTCGTCGCCCAGGCGGGCTCCTCTTCCTCCCGGAGCCGAGGCCCGGGCCAGGGCCTGGGGCGCGCGCGCGGCTGGAGCACTGTCTGCGCACACAGCCGCCTCACCCGTCCATGAGCCCGGCTTCCGAGCGCCGAGTCGCCACCGCGGCCCCCTCTCCTCTTCCTTCTCTTCTTCCTCCTCCCCCTCCTCCTCGGACGGAGGCTCCTCCCGGCCCGGGCTAGCACTTCTCCCGGCTCCGCTCGGCTCGGCTGCCCCGGCGCGAACCACGGCTCCTCCGGAGCGAGAACAGCCGAGAAGTTGGACGAAAAGTTTCAGGACGACGCCGCGAGCCCCGACCCCCTCCACCCCGCCTCCGAGCGCGGGCTGCGGCTCCTGCCCGCGGCTCGCCGCCGCGTCCACCGCCGGCCGCCGGCCGCCGAGGAGGTGGGCGCTGGGGCGGGGGGCGGTGTCTGTCTGTCTGTCGGTCAGCGCGGCTGTTCTGATGCGGGGCCGCGCGCTGGCGGTCACCCCCAAAAGCAGGTCACTCGCTCTGCCCCTGTCCCTCTCGTGGCTCGCTCGCTCGCGCGCGCTCTCTGACCCGGTCTCTCTCTCTCTTCCTCGACTTCTCTTCGGAGCTCTTGCTACCTCTTTCTTCTCTCTACTCGTTTCCAAAATCCGGTGTGATTGGGGAGCGTGAAGGAGCAATCTTCCCAAACGGTCGGCCCGATTTCAGCGGGGGAATGGGAAGCAAAAATAAATTAAAACTGAAAAGAATACGGGTGTTTAAAAAAAAAAAAAAATGTTTAAGAAAAAAAAAAAGGAGGGTAAACCCTGGATAAATGAATATCAAATTCCAGTGCGGAGACCCCTGGCTGGTGACTCCGCGGGTTCGTCTGCCTCGTCGCCGCGTCTTCCGACCGAGCGCCGCTGCTGCCGGCTCCTCTAGCCCCCCGCGCCGCGGCCTCCCCGCAGCCTGGCTGCCCCAAGCCTCTGCGCTTCTCAACGCTACCAGCCGCCCAAAAAAAAGGCCTGGCTCCGCCCCCGCCCGCCGACCCCGCCTCTGGCACGCCCCCCGAGGCGCAGACACTCGCCTCCAGCAGCTCTGAGTTGGGCTCGGCCCCCTGGCGCAGCCTTCGCCCGCGGACACCTAGGGAAGCCGACGCCCCCCACCCTCCCCGGTGAAGGGAGAGCTCGGCCCCCACCGCGGTTCACAGCCTGATATTTACCCACCCGCCCCCCTCTGCCCGGAGACCCACACGCGGTGTTTGCGGGGAGGGAACAGGAAAGTGAGGTTACGTGCGAACAGGACTAGAAAGCGATTCTCCCCCTTTGCTGGGAATATTGGGGAGGGCGTGGGGAGGGCGTGGGGATGGGGCATCAGACAGGGGCGAGTGGAGGTAGGGACACACAGACCTCCTGAAATCCTGGGGTGACCCCTGCCCTTCTTCCCCTCTCCGACACCCTCCTCCAACACCCAGTTCCCCCTCCCCACACTCACACTGACACTCACGCGTCCTCACACTCTCCGCTGACGCTGCTCTACCAAGTTCACCCAGCCTCCCTGTGGTGGCCGAGCGCCCCCTAGTGACACACCCCAGCTCTGGCTCAAGAGGGAATGGGCCTCAGGATGAGAGTGAAAGATTACCCCTGAACCCTGCATTTCTGGCCTCCCAAACAGTGGTATTTTTTGGACTCGGGGTCCCATGTGCAGAGAGCCCAGTGACGGGCACAGAGGGCCCCCGTGTGTCCATCTGGACAATGTGCTCACCAGAGTGAGCTGCAGCCAGCAGGCTGGGGTGACTGGGTTCCTTTGGGAAGTATCCAGGGGGGGCTTCCCTCCGGAAGTCCGCAAGAGTATTTGGCACCAAGTTTGTGGGGCCGAGAATGGAAAGCGTGTGGTTCTGGGGTTAGTCAGTGGCCCAGAGGAAAGAGGACCTGTTGGAGACCACGTATGCTCGGTGGAGTCTGGCAGAGCCCAAAGGGAGAGGCAACTGGGCAGACAGAGGCCCTTGTTTCTGCTCCCCCCGCCCAGATGTTGCCAGGGAACTGAGGCCAGGGGCTGGTGGAGCGGATGGAGGCCAGGGCCTGAGTGATGATTCAAACCTACTCACCAGCACTAAGGAACGTCTGTAGGCCAGCTGCCCAGAGCTCCCACCAGGCTGGGGGCCAAGGCTTCCATCAGCCCCAACCAGGCTCACAACTCTTCTGAAAAGAATTGGGGAGTTGTCCTCTGCACCCTCAGACCCCTGGATCCCTTGTCTGCTTCTCCCAGTTGGTGGCCTCTCTTCTCTCTCCTCTCTTCTCATCCCCTCCATTCCTTCAAAGCCTCGCTCTTTCCCAACTCCCCTATCTTCTCTAAGTGCTCCCCAAGGCCCCCCACCCCACCCTTGCATATAGGACCAACCTGGAAAAATTCCTGGTTGGGCTTTGACCCAGTAGCTCCTAGGCTCCCCCAGGGAACAAAGGGGGGCTCTGATACCTGTGGGAAGAGAGGGACCAATTGGTCTCCTTATTTATGTAGGTCTGGCCAGGGCCTGGCCTAGGGCTGGTGTAGCCTCCGTGGATGCCTAGGCTGAGAGTGGAAGCCGAGTTGAGAGAGAATGGGAATGCAGCAACTTCCCCCAAGTTGGTCAAAATGATCCAAACGGGTTCCTCAGCCAGCCCCCCACCTCAGCACGTGGCGCTGTGGTTTGGTGGGAGTGCTAGGTTACCCCTTTAGGACGCAAGTTCCATGGGAGTGGTGTCCTGAGGGCCCTATGAGCAGGGGCGCCCCCCAATTCTATCCTACTCTTTCCATCATTCATGCCTCCAGGCCTGTCTCCACCACCTGGCAGGCTTCCCAGCAGCAGGAACAAGGTCTTTTTACAGTTTACTTTTTAGTAAACATTTATTTGCTGGCTCAGGGCCCCCTCCCAGGCAGGCCTCCTCACCTAGGCTCCATGCTCAAGCTGCTGCATGGGATCTGGAAGGCAAGCTGCTGAATTTCCTCCTTGCCCAAGCTGGTTCTCCTCTCAAACCTCCGGAGCACAAGATATGGGCACCTTGGCAGAGTCCCCCTCCCTCATTCCTACCCTGGAGCCAGCAGAGCCCAGGACAGAGACTCCCGGTGGCATCGCTTCCACGTCCCTTCTCATCTCAGGCTTCCCCGGCCTCTGGAGAGGCCTGAAGAGGAGATCTTAATAAACGGCCCTGAAGTTGGAAGAAGGATGGAGAAGTTCCAAGGAGGTGTGGCCATTCATTGTCACTTACTAGCCCCGTGCTCTCCCCAGCCTGAGCCAGCCATCCTCTTGGTGGCATTCAGCAATGTGTGTTCCACCGCCCTATGTGAGGTTCCCTCCATGAGCTCTACCCAAGGAACCAGAGGAAGCAGGGGAGCGGAATTGCAGGCTGGCCTGCGGGCTTTTGAGCACCCTAGACCAGGGCGAGAGGGGACTGGGGGTCTCCCGTCTCCACCTTTTATTTCAGACACACAACCTGGTGGTGGTGGCTTAGAGGAGGGGCCTGGACTCTGGATCCCGTCCCCCAATGTGGTATCACAAGCGTTGGTAAGAGTGCACCATCATGGACCCAGCCAGTGCTCACGTTATCATGGGATCCAAAGCCCAATGCACAGAACAAAGAACACAAATGGGCAATCATAAGACCACATCATGTCTCCATAGCACCTTCTCTTCCCAACAGCTTAATCCACAAACCTAATTTCACTTCTCCTCGCTCCGTAGGTGGCTTCAGGGCCGGGAGTGTCGGGGCAGACTGTCCCTCCAGAGACTCCCACGGGCACAGAGGGACCCCAGGTCACCCAACAACATGGTGTGGGATGGGGCAAGGAGCAGAGAGCAGCCCAAAACCTGCTGGGTCCCCTCAGGGGCAACCTCAGCTGCACTCAGGGCTGAGGAGGCCTCCACAGAAGGCTCTGTGCAGTTCAGAAGGCGCCTAGGAGGAAGGGGAAGGTGTTCCAGGTGAGCGGGGAGGGGAGAGACGGGCAGGGTTGGGGTGGAAAAGAACGTGAAAGGTGGCCAGGAGCCAGCTGTGGCCCCAAACAAAGGAAGCAGTGATCGGCCCAAGGCACAATACTTGTACTTTGTCCTGAGGTCCTGTCACCTCTGATGTTCAGGGAAGCTCTCCCGCCGGTGTGGGTGTGGGCAGTGAACCTCCACGCCTGTGCATAAAGGCACAGAGCCCCTCTCAAGTGAGGAGAGGGTCCTGAGTCTTGCTGCTGTCTAAACATTTCTCCACGTGGTCTCTCTGTGATGGAAGGAAGGTCTTCTCCCTCCACTCAACTCCCGACCCCCAGACACGGAGTGGTCCACAGAGCTAACCCGCAGCAAGGGCAGGAATACCAGCCAGTTGAATTGAAGGAGAGAGAATGGGGTGGGTTCCTCGCAATACCGTCTGGCCGTGGGTCAGTCTCTCTCTCTGTCTCTCACTAGGTCTTTGCAACAAAGCAATGGAGAGACAAAGCAAAAGCCAGGAAGAAGGGCCTCTTTTCCAGGGCCAGCATCATAGCCACATCTGGACCTGGAGGCTTGACTCGGTTAATGACAGGTAATCGTGCCGATTGGTAACACGATGGGAGCAGAGGAAGCCAGAGAGGTTAACTCCCTTTAGAATCCAATCAGGAAAAGGGACGGAAGTAGGATGGGAAGCAGGCGGGAGACAGGGCAGAGGGGCTGGGCAGGGACGCTATCTGGGGGAGCACACCACCCCCTGCCCCATCAGCCAAATCTCTGCCTCTCCTTCCTGGGCCTCAGTTTAACCCCCTAACACCAGGCTGTCTCGCTGGATTGCTTCTCCCTGTCAGCACCAGACATGTCCACTTCCTGACACCCCTGTCCTTGCTAACCCTCAAAGTCAGACCCCCATCCTGCCCATTGTTGCCCCATCCACACCCCTGCCCAGTCTTGGAGGGAGTCTCTCTGCTGGGAAGAAGATGATGGTACAAGGTGGTAGCGAAAGTCCTAAAGATATATTCCCCCTTCCAACCTGGTCCCTGCCTGGACCGAGCTTCATTTCAACTTGTGTCTCTTTTCCAGGGCCTACCAGGCACCAGACACTGTGCTGGTATTGTAGGAGGTACAGGGAGACCTTCAGGAGGTTAGTGGAAAGCTCAGGGGCTTTGGGTCCAGATGGACCCCAGTGGCACTCCTGGCTCTGCCACTTTTTAACTGTGTGACCTTAGGCAAATGACTCAACCTCTCTGGTGTACAGCTCCCCTTGTCTGTAAAAGTGACTGAAAAAGCCGGCATAGGAGGGTTGCTGCACAGATGGCTGTGCACACAGTTACCCCAGAAGGTACGACGGGAGAGAAGCCCCTGAGGAACAGAGTGCCATGAAGGGAAGGTTCTGGGGCCGAGCAGCCCGTCCGGCAGGAGTGTCTCCCCCCCTCCCCCCCACCCCCCCACCCCCACCCCCGGACAGCATGTCTCTGCCAGAGAATTTAAACAAACAAGCAGACACTAGAGGTAGGTGCAGCACTGCTGTTGTTTGCTGGGGGCCAGAGGAGGAGGACACCAGCCAGTGACCAGCGCAGGGCCACTGGGCTGGGGCAAGGCGAAGCAGAAAGATCTTGGCTCCAGCTTTGCCCTCTCCCCGTCCCCAGCAGGTGCCCAGAGCTCTCCTGGCTGCCTGCCGCACATGGATGGAGACCTGGCGATCGCCCTGGGCAAAAAACGTCAAGCCTCCTACACGTGGTGTGACGTTGGCCAAGTCAGTACCCACTTCTGAACCCCAGGCTCTGCCCAGGTAAAAGCAGGAGGTGACGTCCCCTGAGCTTCAAGTCTCTGTCACGGCTCCACCAAGCAACCGAGTGCGATCGCTAACACAAAGTGTCACATCTTCCAGGCAGTGTGCCTTCTTAAAGGCCCCTAGACAGGACGATGCTGAACTCAGAGAAACCCCCCATGCATGCTAAAACCTGAGGCACGGCCCACGTGGTGCAGGGGAGATGTGGTTCCAAGGAGCCCATCACGTTTCAGCAGGTAGGGGACTGCTTACCTGGGAGGCCCGAACCTCGGTCTTTAAAAAAAAAACACTGGCTTGGTGAATCCTCACTGTGAAAAGCCCCCACCAGCTCCCCTACCCCACCCTCCACCCACCTGCATAGCATGCAGTGAGAAAAGCCAGGCGGATTGGGCTCAGTCTTGGTTCACCACGTCCAAGCTGTGACTTTGCACACATCACTTCCTCTGTCTGAGCCTCAGTCTCCTCATCTATAAAATGGGAGTCACGGACCTTCCTGCCAAGGTTGTAGGGAGATCCAGTCTCCCCACCATATCCTCGGAGGTTTGGCAGGGAGGATGGGGGGGTCTGGCAGTATTATGGATACCGGGTGACAGTGAATACAACAAGCAAAGCCCCTGGCCTAGCTAGAGTAGGCGGCCCATCATGTTACTTCCCTTCCCTTTCTCCTGTCCCTACCCCCGTGAGGGAGCAAACTCCCGGAGAATGCAAGCCCACTATCATTTGGCTAAAGTCAAACGGAAAGAAATAGGAAAGTAACTTTATCCCATCCCATCCCCCAGTTAAAAAAAAAAAAAAAAAAAAAAAAGACAAGAAGTCACACAATGCATGCCAAAGATGACTCTGGGTGGGGGTATGTTGGCTGGATTCCTGCTCTAGCCTTGCTTTGGAGCAACTGTGTCACCAGGTTGTCACTGAGTTGGCTGCAATGTAAGTTCCTTCAGGGAAATTCTAGGGAAAAATAAGAGGCAAAGACCCAAAGTGCCCCCCACTTCTTCGCAAGAAGGGTCCTTTCCCTCCTCCTCTAGTGACCCCCTGGGCCTTGGCTGGAAGCCTGGCCCAATGACCCAAGCCCCCCAGGACAGGTCACAAAGATAAAGCCAGTTAATGATTGGCCCTGGGAGGGGTCACCCCCACCATGCTGCCTGCCTTCCCAGACCCAGAGGAGAGGGCAGGCCATGGGGAGTGGGAACAACCTCCCCTCGGCTTCCGGCAGCAGCCTGGCCTCACGTCCTCCAGATAATCCGTGAAGCACACAGTTAGTCAAGGGGTATCCATGTGAGGAGAACTTCAGACCATGATCTCGGGGGCCTAGGGGGGCCTCAGAGGTGGGGCAGGTGGGGGAGGGGTGGGAGTGGCCAGGCAAAGCACACCCAGTTTTATCTTGCTCACTGATTGGAGTTTTCGTGGAATTCCATCTGAAGGAAAGACTCCGCTGCTAAAGAAGAAGTGTGAAAGCTCCTCCGCTGGCCAGAGGAGCAGAAGGAGGCCCAGCGTTGTCCAAAGCCACACGGCTACCCAGAGACAACACTGAACTCAGCTCTCTTGACTCCTAGCTTGGTGCCATTTCTACCTCTCCAAGGGCCACTTCATCACTTGCTAGGGTCCAGGACTGAGCCAGGCACCTTTGGGATACTGAGAGCTTCTGCCTCCAAGAGCTAACTAGCTGGTTGGGGAGCCGGGCAGTGCCAGGGTGCGCTGGGTGCCAAGTGCACCTGCAGCAGGTCAGCTGCTGGGCTCAGGGCTCCAGGGTTCGCTCCTCCCTCCCATGTGGAGGAGCTGGTGTGAACCATGGCCTGGGTCCCCTGGAGAGATGATCCTGCCTACATCTCCCCAAATGCCAGCCTGCTCAGCCAGACCATCTCCTTCCAGAACAGCTGGGAGCACCAGGAAACGTAGGTAGGGCGGCTCTGCCTGCTGCCAGCTCCCCCAAGTCCCAAGACCTGGCCCTGGACAGCTCCAGTCCGAGGCACCTGCTCCCCAGCATTTAACACCATTATGGCCCCGGCATGGTTCACATAGAACTGGGGGCATATGCCGAGCGAGGCATAGACCCCTCAGTTTCTGGATTGTGGGGAGGTCCCGGGGACCCAGAAAGGGACAGGGGTGGTCAGAGAGGCAGACAGAGGACTCGGGGGCTGGAACAGCAGCGATTGACCAATCAGGTGCCTGTGCCGGGCTGTACCAGCTGCCTGTCTACCCTACCCCGGTCCACTCTCGACTCGAGGCTGGAATGTGCAGTTTCCAGCCGAGAAGGAGGCCTGTCTGGGGCCCTGATCCGCATGCTTCCATACCTCCTCCACTCCTGGGAATACCAGGCCAGGATTCCCCCGACTCTCTGGACATACGCGTAGCCCACACTCGCCATAGCAGGGACCTCACAGGTTCCAGCCACTGATGAAAACATGGCAGACATGGCCAAGCCCACCCTTGGCCTGGAATCCCAGCCCCAAGTGCCCAGATCACAGACAGTATAAGTAATCAAAGCACTTTCCTTTCACTTTCACTTTCCGTGGGTATCTCCATCCCTCCTCTCCTCCTTCTCTCCCTGCCCCCTTCCCTGCCAGACCCCCCTGTCCCAGGAGGACAACTGGCCCATCCTAGTGGGTCCTATTGGCTGAGCGCTTCTCTGTGCCCGTCAGAAGCTTGAGCTTCTCCGAGTCCCCTGGGAGGTGACTGCTCCCCATTTTCCACTCACCGTTGGGAGCCAGGCTGGGTAGTGGGGGCCAAGCTAGGGGGAGAGATGGTCTTCTCATCTCCCCAACTCCCATCGGCCTTCCAGAGACTAAGGGAGAAGCTGCAGGAGGGAGATTTCTGAGGAGATGGGACACATTCCTGCCCATCGGGTGCTAGGGGAGCTGGGGTGGCAACTCCAGAGAGCACAGTGAGGGGCATCAAGCCCCGCCCCTGACAGGCTCTGAAGGACAGAGGCGGGCACAGTGAGTCTGCCTTCACCAGATGCACCATCGCCCTCCCCACGGTGTGACCCTCTCTCCACCGCTCATCCACCAATCTCCTCTTCCCTCAGGTCTGCAGGCTGAAGGCCACGGGAACTAATACACCACACACACACACACACACACACACACACACACACACACACACACCGCCGCCACCGCCGCCTACGATGGGGCCCCACCGAGAAAAGAAGTGTGCTCTCCCAGAAGTCCAGCTGTTCCAGGCAGGCCGATCAGGGCTGTAAGAGGCTGGACGTCTGTCCCATGAGCACTCTGCCCCCCCGTACTGCCAGGGGGGTTACCTTGAAAGCCCCTCACACAGAGTGTCTCTGAGCCTTAGCATTGAGCACTGCTGCTTCCTGGGCAGCTCCTCAGGTGTCCCCATGGGGGGCCATGGCTGAGAGTCAGGAAAACTAAGTTCAAAACCAGAAACTGTCGCTGCCTTGCTGTGAGGCCCGGAGCAGAGCCCTGCCTGTCTCTGGCCTCAATGTCCTCTCCCGAGAGTAAAGCATGGACCGGTTTCTAAAGCTCTGTTAGGGCTCCAGTCAATGGCCGTAGGGACTGGGGAGAAAGCTGTAAGGCCTGCGCTGTGGACACTCTGGCCCGTGGCCTGGCTGATGGAGATGGCAGGAGGACCAGAGAGCCCCGCCCGGGACCACCTCTCAGAGATGCTGCCGAGATGCCTGCGGTGCACGTGGGTGGGGACGCAGAGGGCAGTGTGTGCTTCCGTCCATTGTCTGATAAACACCCTGGGTTTTCCTATGGCCACCACCCAGAACAGTGGGATTGGAGCAAGGACTTAACTTAGATAAGCGAGGCCTAACCAACTCATCGGCTCTGGGGGATTTACGGGCGATAGCAGAGGATGTTTATTTAGAGACTTCTAAGCCGGCTCCCTACCTGGATGAAATGTCAGGGAGTGGGAGAGAAGGGGAGAGAAAGGCGGAGAGGTGAGAGAGGGTGTCAGTTCCTGCCCCCCCCCCCTTGGGAGCAGAGGTGGGTGGGGTGCCTGTGTTCTGATCTGGGAGCTGAAGAGGGGGAAGGAATTCGTCAGGGGTGTGGTGGGGCCGAGAGCAGGGCAGCAGGGGAATGGAATGAGAAGGCTGTCAAGTGGCAAAGCAAGTGTTTGTGGGAAATGGAGGGAAAGACCATTCCCTGTTGGGAGGGGATGAGAGGGCACTTGGCCCTGGGCTCCCTGCCCTGGCACCCGAGCCACACTCCAGGCACAGCAGGGCCTCCTTGGGGCAGAGCCTACGCCCCCACTGTGGCATCAGCTTGGGCAGGGGAGCCCAGAGCCACTGTTTGAGGAGTAGAAATGGCACCCCCAGGCACTGGGAAGGGGAGGGCTGGGGGTGTCCCCGGGCAGACTGTGAGGACAAGGGGCTTCTTTCCCCCAAAACTGACAGGACACTGCGGCCAGTCCTGCTTTGTCTTGGCGGAGGGGTGCAGCCACATCCCTCACCTGGGGGCAGCTGGTAAGGCTCCAGGAGAGAGTCTGGCCTTGCTCTTCTCCTGGCCTGGCACGTGGGCAGATGGGACAGTTCTGTAACGCATTCCTAGGCCCTCCTCCTCCGCTGTCCAAACCAGGAATCTCTGATCTCCTGAGGGAACTGAGGCTGAAAACCCAGCCAGGGAGGAAGTGCTTTGGCCCTCTATACACCTTCTTTTTTGCTGCAGGGAGGACCAAGTAAGGAGAAGAATGAGCAAGAGAGTGGAGCCAAGCCCCCCAAATGCCACAGCCAAATGATGGGCCGAGGTTAGGGAAGGGTACCGTGATGGGGGCCAGGTCCCACCCTCCCCTTATGACTTAAAGCCCCTCTGGCAACTCCTGACTGTCAAAAGACAGAACTGCAGTTGCCCCCCACACCCACCATGGATGGCAGGGGAAGTCTCCAGGCCCCTGGACGCTGCCCTGCCCAAGGGGAAGATGAGAAGTGGAGATGGGCTGTCTGGTTGGGTTGGCAGGGCGCGGGCTAGAGAGCACCTTCTGGGACCCATAGGCCGGAGAGCTCTCCAGTCGGAGGTGGGGGGCCTTGAATCCCCACCGCCTGAGCCCACAGCACCATCTTGCTGACCCTTCCCATCAGCAGGCTTCAGATGAAGCTGTTGTCTGACTGCAGACACCTTCCAGACATTCTTGGAAGCCCAGGGCCCCCTCCTCAATCAGGACCCCTCCTGGGTGGCTTCCCCAGTGCCACCCCAAGCCTCTAGAGGGCGAGGGAGAGCAGTGCTGGACTTCAGCCCCTGGGGCATAACCAGGTAGCTCTCTGCATAGGCCCCTGGGACCAACCAGCTGCCTCCACCCTCTGCTCCTAGGGGAAGGGCCGCCTGCTGGAGGCTAGGCAGGCCCGCTCAGCCATCGAGACACAGAAGAGTCTGGGCCAGACCTGGAAGGGGCTATTTGGAGGGTGCAGGGACAGGAAAGGAGGGTTTGAATAGTAGAATGATTATCTGAGACCGAACCCTGTCCCCCTGTTCAACTGGGGACAAAAAGGAGAGCAGTGGCCTGGCCCTGGGAATTTCTGCCAGACTTTGGAATAAAAAGAGTTTTTGGCCCACACAGCAAAGCTGCAAACCCCC